TATGCAAAAAGAAATTGAGAATTCTTAACTCGATTATTGCATCAGATGAGGTTATAATCCTTAAAGGAATAAATTAAATTTACAATCTTCCCAGTGTCTGGGAGCTTGTCAGGAAGACCAAGAGCAGTTAAAAAAAACTAAACTAGGTAGTTTGTACCTTCATCCCAGGAGTGCTGGGAAGAGTTGGCTTGCTTGCAACAGTTGGCTCTAGGCTAAATCCTAGATGCAACCTCTTAATGAACCTCTTAAATCTAAACCTCTTAAATGAAGCTAAACAGTCCTTTCCATCACAATAGGTTTGTTGTGAATCTAAATGGTCAGAGAAAAAACTTCCCTAACTCCCTTAAGATACCCAGTCAGTGTATTTCTTGCTGGTGCCCTAGAGCAGAAAAAACGCAAAGAAAGGACCTTAACCAGGCTGAGGTGCTGGCCTAGGACCAGCTCTCAGGAGCCACAAGCTCCTTCCTGGGGGAGAAATGAACAGATGCCCCTGCCCCCCTGCTCCATTCCGTTATAGAGGACTGGAGGTTTAGCCCTGATTCTTATTTTTGCAAGTTCCCATGCCGGAGAAAAACTACAGGTCCTAAATGGTGAGCTGAGCATGGCAACACAAGCCCATAGTGCTGCCCCGGTCCTTTCAGAGACCACATCTGACATCCGACCTGTTCCAGGTGAAGTCTGAGCTGCTAGGACCCTGCTGGCTACTCACTGAGGAGTTCTCTTGTGCCCCGAGAGGGCCTGCACACCAGGGTGAGCCAGGCTCACAAGGGCTTATTGCAGGCTGAACTGGATCCTTGGCTCCCTGGACCCCGTTCAGCCTCCATGGCCTAGTAAGAGGGTATTATTTTCTTAGCTCAAATTGCTGTTTCCAAGTCATTATTTCTCTACAACGAGAAAACAATATTGGGTCTTATGTAATATCAACCTCAATGAATCTGGAAGTGATCACGAAATGGGTGGATTTTTTTCCCCTCCTTAAAGAGGAGAAAAATAAATTTGAGATTGTTTGCATATGGCTGAGAATATTTATGAACTATTCCTCTTGTTTCCTCATCACATATTTTATGCACTGCATTTGTGTGTGGTACAGAATAAATCTTTATGGAAGGACTGAAGGAAAGGAGAAAGCCATTAAAGAAACAGGTATCTGTCATATACCTGGGTCCTTAGCAGTGCTGGGTCTTGGGGGCCCCTGACCTCAGGCCTGTTTTCTAAGATCCAAGAGTTACCCTTTTCCTGCTGCTTTTTAGAAGGAATTCGAAGGAATGTACATTCTCTTGACATTTTGGTTTTTTCCACACTTGCATCAGAGCGGAAAGTTCAATGCCTAGAGTTTTAGGACCCAGGTACTATCAACCACAAGAGATTATTTAGTTCTCTGAAGACCAGATTGAGCCCCGGCCTGAGGAATGAGCTGGCAAGTAGGAAGGGAAATTCTGGCAGAGACTGTATTGGTGCTGGCATTAGTTATTGGATAATGGGCAGTGGTATGGAATATCCCCCTCAACGTGTGCTGCACGGTTTATCCTCTGTCCAGGTCTCTCAAGGCTGCTGGTCCCTTAGAAAGATCTGGAGGGAGTGCAGAGGACTGGCTGTGGCTGTGCATGAAATCATTAAGCAATTAATTTCTTCCTCCGGAGACTCATCTCAGACATGGAGTCTTTCAGGGTTTTCCATTCCCTGCCGAGCCCTGATTTTTTGAGGGGTTCTCCCAAGTAGTGCTCAGAAGGTCTAGGGGTCTCTTCAAGCCATTCTTAGCCAACTGGACCTGCAATTAAATGAAGGAACCCATGAAGGAGTCTGAAGATGAAGGTTAATTGGAGCTCCACAGTGCTGGGAATCACCTGGGCCACTCCAGAAATCCAGGGGGCGTTGCAGGGCTACACCTTTTGGTCGTTGGGAACCGTGTGATGCTGAGGATTAAACTGGGACCAAAAAGGCATACAACGTATGTGTGTGATCCTCTGTACTGTCTCTCGTGGATTTTTGAGAAATGTATACTGACCAAAGGTGTTAGAGGAGAGGCAGTCGTGTGTGGAAGACTGCCACATTTGATACTGCGGTGGTGAAGACTGTCACCAATTGTTGACCTAGAATGCACCGCCCCTTCCCCCCACGCCAAACCAGAGGAGGCAGTTTTTCCTGCAGTATTTAAGTTTATTCTTATAAAGGCCTCCTAAGGGTTAGGGATTTTTAGTCCAGTCGTTGACATGAGAAGATGAAAGTGTGTTGAAGTTAAGGATCTTGCCCCAGCTCATACTCTATTAAGGGCCAGAATCAGGGATGTTTCCAGAATTTGTTGGGTCTGAAGCCAATATAATAAATACAAATAAAGCATTTTTAAAAATCCAGTTTAAGACCTTGGAAGAAGCCCAGTCATGGGAACTAAGGGACCTTGAAGCTTAAACTTCAGCAGTATGGCAGTAAATTCACCCTGACAGGGCCAAAATGTAAACATGAAGTAAATGTCAGGCTGCATGGTCCCTTTTCTGCTACCTCATCTCCTCTGTCCTCCACCATCATCAACCAACACCCTCCTAAGGCTAATTACAAAAGCAATCAATAAAATCAACACACAGAGGATGTCTTCAGAACATGCCAACACCCGAATTATGGTTGGAACTTAGTTGGTATGTCACAGCTGAAACATCGGAGACAACCAGGCCTATCATCAAATTCTATTGTTTCACCTCAAGGGATCACGGGGGAGACAGCTGAACTTGATCCAGACTTCATCCAGAAGTTCCTACTTACAAAAAGCTTCACTTGCTGTTCTAGGTTGCCTTAGGAAGTGGCATGAGAGTTTTCAGACACGAGTACCAACTTGTTTATGTCATGAACACCAACTTGGCTAGAGAACCAATTTGACCGTCTTGGGTCTCTAAGTGGCATTTAGAATTACAGCCATTTGCTACAGTGTCATTTCCCATCATTGGTCTCTTTCCCTCAGAATATCAGTTGGCCATACTTCAATGGGTACTCCATTTTATTTTATTTTTCTTTCTGCATTGTAATCAGGATTTTGTCCTCCATAACTGAGGGGGGTGGGTGGGGTGGAGGGATCTGAGGAAGTAAACAAACCCAGTATAAATAAAGACACTCTGGTGGGGATTTGGAGGAAGCATAATAGGTATTGTTGCATATCCACCCTTTGCTATTGCCGTTGACTAGGTTTTCACTCCCATCCCAGTCTAGACAATTGCTAAGGGGAATACAGGCATTTTCCCAGCTCTGCTTGTTCTGTTCTCCCAAACTGGAAACACAAAGCAGATGATGAAGTGCATGTTCAAATACTGCACCAGGGAGAAGGAAGTATTGAGAAATTGTTCATCCTCCAGCCTGTTTTTAAACATTCCAGAAAGCGTTCAGTTGATTTATCTTGGGCTGGAGTTATTTCATTGTCTCAAACAAAAGGCCTTCTCTGAAAAGACAAACTCGGGTTATGTGAGGAGGAGTTGCTAAGAGGAGACACATTGGGAAGATCTGAACAAGGGTATATAGTCTTCTGGTCTTTTCTTTTTGGAACAAGGCCTCTGGCTTTTATCTACTAAAATTAACATTAGGATAGATTGCCCCATTCTCTGTGTCACTAAGCCTTAGTCTGGAGAAAGCAGCTGTAGTGGTCGATGGCACTGATGACACAGTGACCAATTTCAGCCATCTCCGCTCTGTCCTCCCAATTCAAGGGGAACGCTCCAGGTTCGGTGTTCTAAGCTGTGCAGGCTGTGAGGATCTGGGGATACACGGATTGTGACTTCTGGAAGTTTTTCACTTTGAAGTATTTTGTCTGGCTCTTGTGTCTACTGAAATTATTTGATAGGTAGATAATTATTTAGGCGGTGGGGGAATGGGGGTTACAAGATATAAATGTTTCCTGCCACGTTTTCTTCCTTTTGGTAAATGTTCCTGGGACTGCACTTTACAGGCATCTCTGTAGGTGTAGTTGGATGTTCCCAGGCAAACCCAAGGACAGGTGCATTGATACCTCCATTTTGGGTAACTCTTGATTTTTAAAACAACCATGTAAATTCAGATGTTCCTCCCTTATCACTGGTGACTCTAATGGATCAGCACCCATGGTCCCTTCCCAATGGTATGTGCTAAAAGAGGCTGGTCTCCTTTCTTTCTTTCTTTCTTTCTTTCTTTCTTTCTTTCTTTCTTTCTTTCTTTCTCTCGCTTTTTGGGTCACACCTGGCATTGAACAGGAGTTACTCCTGGCTCATGCACTCAGGAATTACTCCTGGCAGTGCTTGGGGGACCATATGGGATGCTGGGAATCAAACCCGGGTTGGCCGCATGCAAGGCAAACACCCTACCCTCTGTGCTATTACTGCAACCCTATCCTTTCCTTCTTAAGTTGGGCAAACTGTAGTTAATACCACTACAAGCCATGGTGCATATCTCTTTCCTGGGACCTTTATTTATATATTTATTTAATTGTGGGGGAACCACACCCAATAATGCTCAGGGCTTACTCCTGGTTCTGTGTTCAGAAATCACTCCTGGCAGGGATGAGGATGTGGGTATTCAGCTGCTTGCAAGGCAAGTGCCCTATCGGCTATACTATCACTCCCTCTCCTGGAACCTTTAAACTGTTTCCAGGCACTAGTAATTTCTTTGAACAAAATTATTATGTAGATTGATTGCGGAACATTGAAAAGCTATCGATAAAGCAAAGTAACAAAACAAAAATAGACTTATCATTGCATTTCCTGCAGGTCAGTGCTATGAGTATTTTGCTGTACATCTAAATGACTATACTTCTGGTTTTTATTTTTTTTTTCAAAAAATAGGATTGAGTGTTTTTCAGTTGAGGTTTGCTTTTTCAGGCCACTGAATACACTTCTTCTGCACTGTTTTGTATTCATTGACCTGGTATTCTGTAATGTGAGGGGAGCTGGCAGTGTGGCAAGAGGGACAGATGATTTTTCTGAAGCTCCAGTGACTGTATTCAGTTTCAAGAGGGTTGACTAAGGACATATTTGGTTGTTCCCTCCTAGCCCTTGAGAAAGGCCTGACCAAGGTGCTGCAGAAACTAAATGACTACCTGAACACCCCTCTGCCAGAGGAGATTGATGCCAACATTTGTGGAGATGAAGACAAGTGGTCCCAACGCAAGTTTCTGGATGGAGATGAGTTGACCCTGGCTGACTGTAATCTGTTGCCCAAACTCCATGTGGTCAAGGTAAGAATGGTGGACAAGTGTCTACCCATCATGCTCATCAGCTTCATAACCATCTTAGGTTCAGGTAAATAACAAATCAAGGACAATGTCACCTGCTGGTCACATTTCAGGACTCTGAAGTCACAGTCACAGGAGTAGGCATCTAAAGTCAGCTGTGAATGCTGACTGTACAGCTTCTCTGAGCATCAGTTAGTTTCACCTGTAAAATAAACACATATTTCTGAAATTTAAGTTTTTGGGAGAGTAAATATGACACTATAGTATAGGTATTTGGAATACGTGATAGACCAGATAGAGTTATAGTGCTATTAGTGGACCATGTAGAGTTAAATGCAATCATATCACTCCTTTTCCTTACCTCTTTCTCAGAGGTGTTTACTGGACACTCCCTCATATCTCTATTAAATACCTCCCTCTTCTACATGCAGCTTCTGTGCACAGACCCACCTTCTAATCTGCCTAACAAGTCCCCATAGCAGACACTCATCATCTTTCCCATATCCCAGTCAAAGAGACAGAGGTCATCTGAAATGACATCCTGTACTCCCTGCACTTGTTACACTATCTTCCACATGATCCTTTTCTATATGATTCCTGGGATTTGACAGTCGGAAAGAGGGGGATCCCATGGTTATCTCAAACAGCCTCTCAGCGTAAACCAGCCCATTTCCTGTCATGAATGTGCTAGGCTTCTATGCAGCTGTGAGTGACATTTCTATTGATGAGGAGTCCTTTGACTAGTGGGTCATCCTACCACTTTGAATGACTCTCAATAGTGAAAAATATCCTAAGCCCAAACACATCTCCTGGCTGTTCCTTGGTCTCTGGAGAAACATAGGGAAAGGCTGTGTTCTTTCATCTGTTTCGAGGACAACAGTTGACTCATCCAACATTCTCGAAACCCACACTCTTACATACTTTCCTGACCCTCACCAGCCTAGAGAAGAACATGGTGTATTTTTTTTCTAACAATACTCTGACATCATGGTTTGGATAAAACCACATCTCATGGTTTCCAAATAAGCTCTGTGAGGATAGGGCCTTATATATCTCATGGTTTTATCCAAACCAGTTCTGTGAGGGTAGGGCCTTCTCCAAGTAGTGTAGAAGTGCAGTTGGGCACATGTGGTAGACCCTTTAATAATTACTCATTGACTGGTCATTTAATTGTATCATTTACAGTTTTGTGATACCCAGTTTATGTCCTTCTCCAAGAAGATTCAATTGGAACACTTATTGGCTGGAGCGATAGCACAGCAGTAGGGCATTTGCCTTGAACACAGCCAACATGGCCGACCCGAGTTCGATTCCTCCACCCCTCTCGGAGAGCCCGGCAAGCTACCGAGAGTATCTCGCCCACACGGCAGAGCCTGGCAAGCCACTCATGATGTATTCGATATGCCAAACACAGTAACAACTAAGTCTCCAATGGAGACATTACTGGGCCCGCTCGAGCAAATTGATGATCAATGGGAGGGCCTTTACTTACTTACTTTTATATATACCTTTACCTTTATTATCTGATTCAATATTATTTAATCATTTGCCTGTCTGTTTCAGTGGAAGACCTGAGTTATAAATGCAGGCTTCCCTCAATCAGAACATACACTAGTTTGAGTTGAGTGTATATGAGGGGGACACTGGTGCCACCCATGGGCTTGCCCAGAGTGGAGACTGTATGTCAGGACTACAGAACTAAGCAAACTCACCTATGGACTTGAAGGATTTGAAGAAACAGTGAGATCAGAACTAAGGCAATGGTCACTGTGAGGTCTAATCAAACAATTTCATTTTCATTTTGAAGCAATTACTTCAATAGCTCTACTTCAACACCACCACCACCATCTCCTGTTTTCTTTTCTTGAGCCAGATGGTACCATAAGATACCAAATAATTCTGGTCTAGACAGAGTGATAGGATGGAGAGATCCTAGATGGTCCACATTCTGTGCTGTCCACCAATTTGAAATGTGAGTGGGCAGATCATCCCATCTTTGTAATTCATTTTTCTGATGCCTTATGGAAGAGATATGTAGAGCTGAAGAGAAAGTATAGGGGGTTAAACTGTTTGTCTTCCATGCTGCTGATCTGGATTCTATTCCCAGGACTGCAAATAATCTCCTGAGCACAGAGTCAAGAGTAAATCCTGAGAGCCACTGGGTGTGATCCAAATCCCTCTCCCTAAGAAAGAAGGGATGCATATTCTGCTCCTTCCTACCGCCCTTCCTCCTCCTTCTCTTGTACTCACAACACTTAGGTCTTACACATTGTCCTACAAATGATTTCTACATTTACTTCCTGCCCTGAAGCACTGGGTATAGTCCACTCTGTTCCTGGAAAAAGTTCAATGAGTTTGTGACCTGGAGAAGCTGGAGGTCAAAGAGCATATGGACTGCAACGGGGATGGAGTTGGGCCTCGCCTCCTGTCTCCTTGGATTTCTGCTGATCTGGTTTATCAGATCCCAGAGGCCTGGCAAACCTCTGAAGTGCAGAAAAAGTGAATGGGAAGCCAATTCAGCCCTCCAATTTGTCTTCTGGTGCCAAAAGTTAATGTGAGCTATGGTTGCTAACCGTTTTCATATGAAAAAAGCAAATGCAGTACACGAGCATGGATGTTCCTGTGCAACCTCTCCTTCATGCTCTCTCTCCCTCCTTCAAGGTTCACTTTCAAGTTCATCTTTGTCTGAGGAATCTGAGTGGCTTCTGGCCCAGGTGCTCACAGAGACCCTCTTTGAACTTGCACTGCCTGGGTCCCTTCTAGTGATCATCCCCTTATTTGCGAGATCAACTCTTGTTTGTTCTGTTATTTTGGTTTTTTGGCTATGCTGGCGATGCTCAGGGCTACGCATGGCTTTTCGCTCAGGGATCACTCCAGGCAGTGTTCCGGGGACCATATGGGAATCCAGGTCAGCTATGTGCAAGGCAAGCGCCTTACCTGCTATACTATCTCTTAGGTCCTGTGTGAGAACACACAGCGGGTGACACTCAGGAAGTGCCCTGGCTGTGAGTGCACCCCAGAGAGGAATAGGAAGCACACTGGAAGAAACAGTTCCCTCTGCCCCTGCAGGGGCTCTCTAGCACTCTCTTGGCAGAGCCTGACAGGGTAGGTGACAGACTTGAGGTGTGTTTGTCTCAACCCCAGGTCCCACGGGACCTGACAAGGTTAGCAAAAGACAAGGTTTAGTCTGGAGATAAGCAATAGGAGTTGAATTTCTGGTTCATGTGGGATTCTGGATGTGGGGCTCCTTTATCATTTACACAGAACCGAGGGGCAAAGTGAAAAGAACTGTGGATTCTTTTTTTGGGCACTATAGCAAGTATTAGCAATTACTTAATAGGTATTGGCTGATTACATTCATTTCCAGTGCAGCCATTTTACTCTTTCCTAGATTCAGCTGGTTTATTGCTAAAACACTTCAACATGTACAATTAAGTGATTTCATTGCCTTTGGTATTAAATTCACCTTGTCTGGTGCTAAAAATGTAATTGAGATGGTAAAAATGCTCATCGAATAACCAACTTAACCTCTTCATCATTGTCTCATGTATAAAATGAGAATATAGTGTCTTCCCTGGGACTATAATGCTCTAATGCAGTCATTTAGAGATTTAAGTCGCTTGCTATAACAGGAGCAGAGCACATAGCAAATAGATGTTTGATCGTGTCATTCCTCTTACCAACAGTGTGACTGAGATTGTTGAGGGTAATGAAATGAAGCAGCTGTGGTTTCGGTCCTTAAACTCTCACCAGCCAAGGAGGAGAGACAAGACATTCAAAGCAGAACTATGATTCACACTAGAAGGCTGCTTAGTGTGGTCACGAACAGAGGAGAGTGGAGGGGAAAACACATCCTCCCTGGGAATCCGTGAGGCTGAGCTTTTCATACAGTGGGTCATTGTTCACCCAGCACAGCCTTGGGGAACCCCACACATCACTGACAGCAAACCCAAAGTGGAGTCACTTGTGGGGAGAAGAAGGGGGAAAGTCTCTGAGTGGGAGGATCTCAGGGACTGTGGTCTGATGTGCTTGCTAAGAAGAAAGCAAGGGGGAGGAGTTAGGACTCTGTGTGTGAGAAGAGAGGTTGCTCTTGGCAGTGTCCATCCTAGCAGTGAGTGCAAGAGGTGGGACTATCTAAGGCACAGGTCCCCGTAAACAGTGAAAGTTAAGATTCACACATTGCCCACATCTTTGCTTGAGATGTGTATTTTCTTATTTTTGAGTACATTGAACCTATTCTGGGGAAATTACCTGCACATCTCTGCTTGGGACATGCATTTTGCTTTTTTTTTCTCCACTCATTCGAATCGTGTGTTCTCTCTTGAACACTTATCTCTCTTCTTCCCTCTTATTCCTTCCCAAATAAACCTGTTTTACTTCAGGGAAAAAAATTTCAGAACTTCCAGATGTTGCCAGCAGAGCATTAAGCCCAGAGTAGTGCCTTTCTGAATGCAAAGCCCTATATGACTGCCTAGATCATGTGACCACGAAGCTGCCCCAGTGAGGAAGATATAATGGAGACCTCCCTGATCTAACCTAAGAAGAAATTAATGCAAACAGGTTAATATTAGGTCTCAGTGAATTTGAATCATATTGAATTGGAAGCTTATTGAAGATGTAGACTGTGCCAGACATCCCTCCAAGTAAAGAGAAATTAATTTATTGGTAATCCAGGCTAGCTCTAATCAGTACCTTCACTCTATAGATACAGAGGGTTGAAGAAGTGAAGGAAATATCCAAGCTCACATATCTGTTAAGTGGTGCAAATCCTGTCTGCTGGAGTCCAGCTGGTGCTTTTCATCACTATTTAACCACAACTGTTTCTCTCAATACAAGCATCACTTCCCAAGTCCATAAGCCCCAAGTGGTAGACTAGCAAGGTGGCAGACCAGGGAGAGATTCAAAATCACTCTTTACTCCCTCCTAAGCTTACTAGACCCTACCTATAAATACTTACCACTAACTCACTGTTTATGTGTTTTCCCTTTTTACAGATAAAGACACTTTTGTAAAACAAAATGGGAAAAGGGGGAAAAAAGCACTGTCTATAGTTCTATCAAGCAGGCATAACCAGTGGTAATATATTGGTGCATATAACTCTGGAATTCAATATACATTATCTCCAAACATGTTCTGCTTCATATTCAACTGAATCATCTTGAATTTTCCTGCAAAAAAGCCATTACATTTGTTTATGATGATGAATTGATTTGTTCATATATGCTTGGCCATTTGTGCCATGTGCTATCTTTTGCTATCCGCAGTAGTTCTTAATCCCATCCATGTAGCCAAACATACATGAGCATCCACAAATGTATCTGAAGAGGGATAAGAGGCCCTAGAGCAGAACCAGGGATCAGAGGGCCAATTCCATTTACTGGAACAATATAAAGTAGAAAGAAGGCAGTCCTGCCACCGTGCACACAGGCATTCTGGTCTGTGGTGGTGCTGGTCAGGTTCTCCTTCTGAGCACACATGCAACACTCATGCCACCACCAACTTCTCAGTCATTGGTTTCTTGCGTTCATGCCACCTCTGTCCTGTCATCTCTTTTGTAGATCGTGGCCAAGAAATACCGCAACTATGACTTCCCAGCTGAGATGACAGGCCTGTGGAGATATCTCAAGAATGCCTATGCTCGAGCTGAGTTCATCAACACCTGTGCCGCGGACCACGAGATTGAGTTGGCCTATGCGGATGTCGCCAAGCGTCTCAGCCGATCCTGAGCAAAGCCATCTTGCCCCCTTGCTGCTGCAGAACTCAGCTTTTCCCAAAGGACTCTGGCTTCACCGGCTCCTCTTCTGCGCATTGCCTCAAGAAACATTCTTTGTTCATTTGTTTGTTTGACTTATCCAAATCCAACAACCTCTTGCTGGCTCCATCAGAACTCCAGCCTGCTGCCTTGTACCAACATCAGCCACTTCCAGCCTGATTACACAAGAATCTGCAAGCAGAAATTTTAAGGACCAGACAAGCTCTCAATTTTCAGGTCCAGTCTGGGCTCAGTGTCTTTGAGGTGATTCTCCTGGAGAATTAACCTATGGAATTGTCACCGCCCTTTCCCGCCAATATCAAAATATCTCCTTAGGTGCATTAGAAACACCCACACACTGTCCTCTTACCCCCTCTTCTTTGCCACTCTTTGCCATGGATAAGCGCCATCATAGTTCTTATTAGAAAGAGACCCACTTCTTTATAAGGAGAGAGAGAGAGAGTATGAATGGAGAAGGATAGAACAGTTTGTGACTTTGGGCATCTGGTAAACACAACTTAGGTCACTGGCTGCTACTCTCTGACACTCCTATCCTGGCATCAGTACAGAGATGCTGATGACCAATATTGAAGACCACTTTAGATACAGTCTCCATTCACTGCAGCATTTTGAATGTTGAGGTACTCTCTGGCTCCTGGTCAGTGCTGACCTCGTTTTTTGTGCCACTCAGGCATGCTGTGTAAAAAGGGAAATTTCAATTTTAGATTGGGTGACATGGAGAAAGGGAGGAGAAAGGGGGAGCAATGTTGATGCCAAAAGGCCCACAAGGGTCTACCAGCCATGGGACTTGCTTGCTTAGAACCAGTTGTTTCATGGGAGATTACTTGTCTTGGTCTTACTATGTTTAGCCATGAGTGAATTTGGGGTTTGTGAGAAAGCTGATGGGAGTGGGGACAGAGGGATGCAGGGAGGAGAGGGTGGAGATAAAGGAGTTCTTTATGAGGGTTAAAGTTCCCTGGGAAGTCTTTACAACAGCTCTTTCATGATCCAACTAAGTCTTGGCCTGGTAATTTTATTTAACAACCAACCTGATACGAAAACTCTCAGAATGGCCAAACATGACTTTCTAATCTTCTAGTTATTCCATTTCCAGACACAGATTTCCTCTTTGGGTGTTCTGTGAGGTTCAGTTGCAACTTTTGATGGGTAAGACTACTCTGAGGGGGAGGTGCCATTATGAGTTACCTTAGGAAGAAAGTCTGTAGGCCTTTCTGACTGGGAAACCATGTGGTTTGAACTCAAAGAAAGTAAGTACGTACCCATTTGAGTTGATTTTTCTCTCATCTGACTCAACTGCCATTTCATAAAAAGGCGAAAAAAATTTAGCTAACACTTCTTGGTAGTTCTCTTTAAATTTCACCTTCTTGAAAGGTTACCTGACTATGAGCAGAGGGAGCTTTGCAAGGGAAACTAAGAATAATGAGCTAATCATCAACTCCCTCTCCGATTGATGCCCCGAGAGAAAAGTTACTTTCTACGCATGCTCCCCTTCAACAATCAGCCCTTCTGTGTTACTGGCTGGTCTGGAGTGAGGCCCCCAAGTGCCAGAAAGCCCCAGAACTTGTCTCATTTCTCAACGAGGGCTACATAGGTTCTTTCCAGAGAAACATCAGTGGATTCTAACACAAAGTCTAACCTTGAACTACCTGCCTCTAGGGATCTCTGAAGGAAAAAGGGGAGCTGTTGACTGGAACAGAGTGGAGGAAGCAGGAACACTCCCTAAGCCCAGTGGGGAAGAGGAAACATCTTGGGAGGACGTTTTATAAGCCACTGCTTTGAAAGGCAGAATGAGTTGATTCATTTCCACCTCTCCAGAAGCCTTTCCACAGGCTGCCTGGAAACTTGTCCCCAGAGATGTTTATAAAGGAGAAGGGGGCTAGGAACCAGTCCTTTATACTGCGGTGAAATGCCCCGCGCCGTCTCCAGGGAGATGAAAGCTTGAATGATCCCAAAGGCCTTTTAATTTGGGTGAAACATTGTATAAAGGAATCATGAACTTAGCAGCACAGGTAAAAATGCCCCACAAGCAAGAGGCCATTTCCTTTCCTGAGAGACAAGGGCACTGGGCACTATTCTAGAAGCAGGCCTGTGAAGTGCTACCCCACGAGAAGGCAAAAACAATATTTTAAATGTGGGTGGGTGGGTGTGACTCCAACCCCAGGACTCTGATAGGAGTGACCATATTTTGAAATTCGGAATCAGCAATTGGAGAACCCTTAAACAGTCTTTAAATACAAGCAACCAAACCAAAGCAATATTGTTTCTGGTTAGTTGAGTCTGTTTTACCTAAATCTTAATATTAAAGCATTGAGGGTGGGACTGTTATAAATTGTAACCACTTAAAAAGAAGGGGAGGAATCATGGATGAAAGGCTCTTCTGGGCACTCCAGGATCTTTTGATTTTAGCAGGAGATAGTGCAATTCACAATTGGCTTTGGAACTTTAATATCTTCTCACCAGATTTATCAGTGTGTTTTTAAATAATAATAACATTTCCCTCTGATTATTTTTTTCAAGAGATCTCTCCAGATCTGTCAGCTTCCTTTTACTTTGACCTCTCCCATACTCAACACAATACCTTACATGACAGTATGATGACATCTGTTGGTCTTCCAAGAACCAAGTCAGAGACTGAGAAGACCTCTTAATTCCCGCCTTCGACTTTCACCTCCCAGCACTTGTTTTTTGGAGAGGGGGTGGGGAGTGTAGGGGAGCACAGTGTGAAGCAAAGGCAAAAACAAGAATCAAATCAGAATGATGATACCCATGTCAGTGTGGCCTGCCTTTCAGATTAGCCACAGATAGAGCTGCCTCACACCTAACTCTTGAACCAAACACTAAGAACTACTCCGAACACTTACTCAGCTACACAATCTCAGATGAGTTTCAGGTTTCCAGGAAATGACTGTCCTTAGCCTTCCCATCCAGTGTTGCTGGGGTCATTGGGGAGCTACAACTTTTCATTAAAAAATGCTACTCCAGGAGAGACAATTCCTGAGTCACATTTTTTTTAAGCATTTGTCAGACGAAACAACAGAAATTTCATGAGCAACAGTGCCACTGACCCCCTCCGCGGACAGACTGTATCAACTATCTTCAAGTTGTTGCAGCATGGACTAAGTCTGAAGGAGACCCTGAAGAACTTCACCTCCCCAGAATCAGCAAGAACCAAAGAAACAGAATTAAAGGGGAAACTGCAGCGAGAGCCCTGGAAGAGGCGGTTCCTTCTCCCTCCAGAGAAATTTTCCATCAGAAGAAAATAGAGTTTGTATCTAAACTGAAATTTGCCTTGAGGCAGCAGCTTTCCAGTTGCTCTTCTGTGCCTCACCCCCACTCACCTCTACTCACCCGTCCTTAGCCCTGTTTACCTCTATTTACCCTTACTTACCCCCTACTCACTTCTGCTCACTGCTACTCACCCCTGTGCACCATGCTCACTGTCCAACAGCCATTTCATTAGTAAAACGAATCAAGATGCTCAAGTTTCTCCACCTGTCAGTAAGTTCACTGAGTCCCAAAGGATGTCTTTCTAATTTGGGGAGTATGACATTCAAACAAATCTGAAGCACTAAGGTAAAAAGTGACATGAAGAGAAAAAGTGTGCTCATACCAATTCCTCATTGCGCTCAGAGCCTCCAGACTTCTCCCCACTTCTCTCCAGCTTTCAGATCACACTCCTCATGCATCACACTCCTCTCCCCTCATCAAGGCTCTTTTTCCCAGTGTAGTTTCAGGATACATTGAAGAATGAGAGTATAATCCAAAATGTACATAACTTTATTTAATGTTCCTTAATAAAATTGAATGTGACACTCCTCTCCCCAACCCCAAAATAAGGTAAAATGTTGCCTTGGGCTAATCTATGTGACTATTAAAACAACCTTTTTTGGGGGGGAAAACATAGTTTTAAGGATCCAATCACCTAAATTATTTTTATCTAGTTAAAGATTTTGCAACATTGACTATCACCTGTTTGCCCTATTTTATAAGTGAGGAAGCTAACTAATTTAGCAAAAGATGCCTAGCTTTGATAAAAGAACAAACATTTCACTTTTCAAACACTCCAAATGACGGTTACTTGATTTTCTCACGACCTTTAACTGTGTTGATAAAATAACAGGACTTGCTTTCAAGCCTTAAGAAATGTAAAATGCCTTTTAATGAAGATATTGCTGAGTGTTTTCCTCTTGAATCTGAACCAATGATAAATGTTTCCCAGTTTTGATTGGTATTGACTGATTCAAATAAAGTTGGTTTATTTTCAAATATTAAGACAGTGATCATTAGACTTTTTATTTGAGATGGGTATTTCTCAGTAAATGACAAAAATATTAAAAATATGTTTTGTTTCCAAATAAAGATTCTTTTATTTTCTCATTATAAAACAGAACATGCATGGGACTAGGGGCATAGTACAGCAGGTAGGGCACTTACCTTCATGTGACCAACTCAGGTTTGATCCCGGCACAGAGCCAGGAGTACGTCCTGAGAACTGCTGACTGTGGGGCTCTCAAAAAACAAAAAACAAAAGGTGTGGGGAGTTGGGAGGGGGAAGGAGAAATAGTACACCAGGTAGAGTTCTTGCCTTGCATGCCACCTACTTGGGTTCGATCCCCTCCACCCATTATGGTTCCCGAAACATCACCAGCAGTGATCCCTGAGAGTAGACCCAGGAGTAAGCTCAGAGCACTGCTGAGCGTGGGTCACTCCTACCCCACCAAAGGAAAAAAAAAAAGAAAAAGAAAAAAAGTCCAATTGTCTTAAAAAAAAATCAAAAGCAAGTAAAAAGAAAAGGAGGCAGAAAAGAAGTAAAAGCCATAAATTTATGGTCCATATACCTAAAACCTATTTTTTTCTGTTTTACCAGAGCTAAAACTTTGTAGTAGATGGCCTGTAACTTTTGAGAAATTTATGCTTCTTTATACTTCTAATTTTATTTCTTATCTATATGGTCATCTAATTGGGCTGGAGTGATAGCACAGCAGGTAGGGCATTTGCCTTGCAAGCATCCAACTTGGGTTCAATTCCTCCGCGCCTCTCGGAGAGCCTGGCAAGCTACCGAGAGTATCCTGCCCTCATGGCAGAGCCTGGAAAGCTCCCCATGGTGTATTCTATATGCCAAAAACAGTAACAAGTCTCACAATTGAGACGTTACTGGTGCCCTCTCAAGAAAACTGATGAACAACAGGAGGACAGTGCTACAGTGCTACATGGTCATAATATTGGCAGAGTGTTAGATTAGAAAAATAAAATGTTCTTAAAGAAAGAATTTACTGTTATGTGAAGATGAAATATCAAAGAATGGGTCACCACAATATAATCCTTTCATAGGCCTGATCTTCCATAGGCCTGATCTTCCACTCTCATCTTACCACTATGTGTACTTCAAATCCAGTGAAAAGTATACACCCAACCCCTGCTTGAGAAGATTAAAGCCCTGCCACAGAGGCGGGGTGGGTTCAGGGGGATGGGGTCGAGTTGCAGGAGGGATACTTTGATCATTGGTGGTGAAGACTGGGCACTGATGGAGGGATGGGTACTCAATCACTGTATGACTGAAATGTAAGTATGAAAGTTTGTAAGTCTGTAACTGTACCTCATGGTGATTCGTTTAAAAAAAAAAGATGTGAGTTTTTTTTGTTTGTTGTTTTTCTTTGTTTTGTTTTGTTTTTTGTTTTTTGGGTTGCATCCAGTGATGCCAGGGATTACTCCTGGTTCTGCACTCACAACTACCCTGCCCTGTCTGCTTCCACCAACCACCTGTGACCCAGGGATTACACACACAGAAGACCCACCCTACCGGTACCAGATAAATACCTCAATGGCAGACCTCCACTACCTCCACTACCCAGCCGACGCCATGCTCCAGGATGCTCCAGGACGCTTCAAGGCCACACAACACATCATAAGACAATACCCATCTTCCAGGATTACCTCACCATATTTGATAGGGTTCAAATATGGTTTGAACCGTGGGAACACCTGCAAGGGTGATTAGAGGCTGTCCTAAAAGCCTCTATCTCTCTCGGAGAGCCTGGCAAGCTACCAAGAGTATCCCGCCCACACGGCAGAGCCTGGAAAGCTATCCGTGGAGTATTTAATATGCCAAAACGAGTAAATAAAATGGGTCTCACTCCCCTGACCCTGAAAAAGCCACTAATACAGCAGCGTTAAGAAGGATGAAGGAGGAGAGGCTGATAAAATCTCAAGGCCGAAGTAGGCTCCCAAAATGAAGAAAGACAAAAATGACAGTCTGTACTTTCAATGCATGTACACTGGCATCGGATGCATCAATTGAAGATGGGATGGTACAAGCGTGAAAGATCGAGTACAACGTCATTGGTCTGATCGAGACAAGAAGGTATCAATCACATCATGCCGTTTTTGACACTGGAGAAGAACTGTTCCTTGGAACATGTGACAAAATAGGCGTTGGTGATGTCGGTGTCCTTGTCAACACGAACTTGGCCATAAACATTGATTCATTCAAATGTCTAACAACCTGAATTGGACGATTACACTTGAGTAGATGTGGCTCACTGCCGGCAGTTTCTATCTTCATTGTCTATGCACCAACATCCAATTATGATGAAGGAGAAATTGAGAAGTTCTACATGGAGCTGAAGAAGTTCTATAAAGAAGACCACACCCTCTACAAGATCATTGTCTGTGATTTTAATGCCAAGATAGGACTGAGAAGATCAGTCGAAGAACTCCACATCGGGACCCATGGCCTAGAATGGAACGAACAGGGTGAGAGACTGTCTGAATTCATCATGTCGACCAAGACCATCCATGGTAACCCACAGTTCCAGAAGGCTGAATCTAAACATTGGACTTGGGAGTCTCCCGGTGGACAGTTCCACAACGAAATTGACCACAACATATTCAATCAACAGTCTTGCCTGAGTGATGTCACTGTTGTCCCAAAATTCCAAACAGGATCAGATCACTGTCTCCTTTGTGCAAAATTCTACTTCACAAAGCAGGGAGAAAGGGCTGCAAAGTTTAAAAAGAGAACTCCCAGAACAACCGCCAACTGGGAGCTCTTTGGAGCTATTGTGGCAACATGGGAAGATGCCGTCATTGACAACATTGACCAGGAATAAGATTGACTGGTTCAGCACCTCCACGATTGTGAGGAATGCCAAGAGAGAGATAGGCACAAAAAAATGCCTGTCTTTGAAAACTCTTGAGCTTATTTGCCAATGTGGCTTGGCAAAAGCCTCAGGCAACCACAAGCGAATGTCTGAGCTCGCAAAACTGTGCAGAGAAGCGATAAAGGAAGACCTCAAAGAGAGAAGAGCAGCAGTGCTGGCAGATGCAGCAGTAGCTGGGAAAAACATTTGCAATGCCTGCCTGTCCTTTTTCAACTACAAGACCAATATGACTGCCCTCTGACGTCCTGATGAATCTATCACGTCTTCCATAGGGCAATGGAGAAGATTATCTATGACTTCTACTTATCTCTTCGAAAGTCATGAACACCTGCCCACATACCAAATTCTGCAGGATGGATATGTCATTCCCAACATTCTCACTTTCGAAATCCAAGATGCTATTTCATCGGTAAAGAAGCGAACAGCACCCGGCCCAGACAAGGTCAGACCCGAACCCCTGAAGAATCTGCCATCAGTACTCATCAATACACTGGCTCGGCCCTTCACATGCTACCTTTTTGAATGCAAGGTTCTTTCCCAGTGGAAAACCAGCAGGACTATACTACTGTACAAGAAGAGAGACATTGGCAACAATTGCCCAAACTACCTATTGTCTATCATCTACAAGCTGTTCACTCAAGTCATCCTGAATAGGATTGGTAGAACATTAGATGAACTACAACCATGCGAGCAAGCCAGGTTACGCAAAGGATTCAGCACGATCAACCATATCCACACGATAACCAAGCTTATTGAGGTTTCTCAGGAGTTCAAGACACCACTCTGTCTAACATTCGTTGATTTTAAAAAGGCCTTTTATTCTGTTGAGATGAAAGCAGTCATTGAAGCCCTAGCCAAACAGGGCATTCAAACTCAGTACATTAGGATCCTCCATGAGCTGTATTACGGATTCACTACCAGGATCTCACCATTCTACAAGGAAGTGATCATCCATGTCAAGAGAGGGGTTCGGCAGGGTGATACTATTGCACCAAAACTCTTCAGTACCACCCTCGGGAATGTCATGAGATGACTGGAATGGGAAGGAATGGGAGTGAAGAAAGATGGTTGGCAACTACACCACCTCCGCTTTGCTGATGACATTGTTCTAATAACATCAAACATTAGCCAAGCAGTACAAATTCTGGCCGACATTGACTGTGAGTGTGGAAATGTAGGACTAAAGTTGAACATCACGAAGACAATGTTTAGGAGAAACAGTCTCATTCCTGACGTTCCATTTGCTCTCAACAGAATGAACATCTCTGAATGCAACAGTTATGTGTACCTAGGTCAAGAACTCAACATGACAAATGACCTGACTCCTGAGTTGCGCAGGAGGAAGAGAGTAGTTTGGTATGCCTTCAAGAGCGCCGAAGAAATAGCTAAGAGGATGAAGAACCTCTAGATTCGGGCACATCTCTTTGATTCCACTGTTCTTCCTGTTTTAACATATGCCTCAAAGACCTGAGCCCTATGCAAACAGAATGAGAACGCTATTCGGGTCTCCCCAAGAGGAATTGAAAGAGCTATGCTTGGAGTATCACGCTTCACTCAAATGAGAGAAAGAATCTGGAGTTCTAACCTCTGTTGATGGTCAAGAATCGGGGATGATGTCTCATTTGCCAAGGCGTTGAAAATCAGATGGGCTGGACACGTAATGAGATTTGGAGAGGACTGCTGTACTAGAGCCGTTACCAACTGGATTCTATAGGATGTCAAAATATCGCGT